CTAGGGGCTGAACCTTCACACTGGGGCGGAACCTTCACTAGGGGCTGAACCTTCACACTAGGGGCTGAACCTTCACACTGGGGGCTGAACCTTCACACTGGGGGCGAGCCTTCACACTGGGGGCTGAACCTTCCTGGGGGCTGAACCTTCACACTGGGGGCTGAACCTTCACACTGGGGGCTGAACCTTCACACTAGGGCTGAACCTTCACACTGGGGGCTGAACCTTCACACTTGGGGCTGAACCTTCACACTGGGGGCTGAACCTTCACACTGGGGCTGAACCTTCACACTAGGGGCTGAACCTTCACACTGGGGGCTGAACCTTCACACTGGGGGCTGAACCTTCACACTGGGGCTGAACCTTCACACTAGGGGCTGAACCTTCACACTAGGGGCTGAACCTTCACTGGGGGCTGAACCTTCACACTAGGGGCAGGGCCGGGTTAAGACTTTCGTAGGCCTTAGGCACCTCCAAGATATAGGGGCCCCATTTGACAGCATATACTAATAACACAAGCTAGTACCTAATTTTAAAATGTGATGTCGAAAGAATAAGATTCAGTGATGTTTGCCATGAATTGAGTAAAAGAAAATGGGTTAGATCAGCTGTTCTTATACAGTACAGAAATAGTTTTGTTACAAGAAGCACAGCTAGCTGGTGGACACTAATAGGATTAAGTAATAAATAAATGGAAAAAAGTACATGACACTCCACCTCAACAGGTGTCATAAAGGGGTGAAACATGACACTCCTCCTCAACAGGTGTCATAAAGGGGGTGAAACATGACACTCCTCCTCAACAGGTGTCATAGGGAAGGGCGAAACATGACCTCCTCACCAGGTGTCATAAAGGGGGGTGACACATGACACTCCTCCTCAACAGGTGTCATAAAGGGGTGAAACATGACACTCCTCCTCAACAGGTGTCATAAGGGGAGGGCAGTGACACTCCTCACCAGGTGTCATAAAGGGGGTGAAACATGACCTCCTCACCAGGTGTCATAAAGGGGTGACACATGACACTCCTCCTCAACAGGTGTCATAAAGGAGAGAACTCCTCCTCACAGTGTCATAAAGGGGTGCTGAATCCTCCTCACCAGGTGTCATAAAGGGAAACATGACCCTCCTCCTCACCAGGTGTCATAAAGGGGGAGAACATGACCTCCTCCTACCAGGTCTCATAAAGGGGTAAGAACCTCACAGGGTCATGAAGGGGATGAAACATGACCTCCTCTCCAACAGGTGTCATAAAGGGTGAAACATGACACTCCTCCTCACAAGGTGTCATGAAGGGGGTGAAACATGACAATCCTCAACAGGTGTCATAAAGGGGTGACTGACATTCCTCCTCAACAGGTGTCAAAGGGGTAAACATGACAATCCTCAACAGGTGTCATAAAAGGGGTGCATGACAATCCTCCTCAACAGGTGTCAAAAGGGGTGACTTGCCCCTCACAGGTGTCATAAAGGGGAATGAACTTCCTCAACAGGTGTCATAAAGGGGGTAACACATGACACTCCTCCTCAACAGGTGTCATAAAGGGGTGAAACATGACCTCCCCTCCCCAGGAGTGTCATAAAGGGGGTGAAACATGACACTCCTCCTCACAGGTGTCATAAAGGGGTGAAACATGACCTCCTCCTCAACAGTGTCATAAAGGGGGTGAAACATGACACTCCTCCTCACCAGGTGTCAAAGGGTGAAACATGACACTCCTCAACAGGTGTCATAAAGGAGGTAACACATGACACTCCTCCTCAACAGGTGTCATAAAGGGGGTGAAACATGACACTCCTCCTCAACAGGTGTCATAAAGGGGTGAAACATGACCTCCTCCTCAACAGGTGTCATAAGGGAGGGCGAAACATGACACTCCTCACCAGGTGTCATAAAGGGGGTGACACATGACCTCCACCTCAACAGGTGTCATAAAGGGGTGAAACATGACACTCCTCCTCAACAGGTGTCATAAGGGGGGAAACATGACACTCCTCACCAGGTGTCATAAAGGGGGTGAAACATGACCTCCTCACCAGGTGTCATAAAGGGGGTGACACATGACACTCCTCCTCAACAGGTGTCATAAAGAGGGGAAACAGAACCTCCTCCTCACCAGGTGTCATAAAGGGGTGAAACATGAAATCCTCCTCACCAGGTGTCATAAAGGGGTGAAACATGACCCTCCTCCTCACCAGGTGTCATAAAGGGGGAAACATGACCTCCTCCTCACAGGTCTCATAAAGGGGTGAAACAGAAACTCCTCCTCACCAGGTGTCATGAAGGGATGAAACATGACACTCCTCTCCAGTTAAGGGTGAAACATGACCTCTCCTCCAGGTGTCATGAAGGGGTGAAACAGACAATCCTCAACAGGTGTCATAAAGGGTGGCTGACAATCCTCCTCAACAGGTGTCAAAGGGGTGAAACATGACAATCCTCAACAGGTGTCATAAAAGGGGTGAAACATGACATCCTCCTCAACAGGTGTCAAAGGGGGTGAAACATGACACTCCTCAACAGGTGTCATAAAGGGTGAAAAATGACACTCCTCCTCAACAGGTGTCATAAAGGGGTAACACATGACCTCCTCCTCAACAGGTGTCATAAAGGGTGAAACAGCCTCCTCCCCAAGGTCATAAGGGTGAAACGCCTCCTCCTCAACAGGTGTCATAAAGGGGTGAAACAGCCTCCTCCTCAACAGGTGTCATAAAGGGGTGAAACATGACCTCCTCCTCACCAGGTGTCAAGGGTGAAATGACACTCCTCAACAGGTGTCATAAGGAGGTAACACATGACACTCCTCCTCAACAGGTGTCATAAAGGGGTGAAAAATGACACTTCTCCTCAACAGGTGTCATAAAGGGGTGAAACATGACACTCTCCTCAACAGGTGTCATAAAGGGGTGAAACATGACACTCCTCACAAGGTGTCATAAAGGGGGTGAAACATGCCTCCTCCTCACCAGGTGTCAAGGGGTGAAACATGATCCTCCTCAACAGGTGTCATAAATGGGGTGAAACATGACACTCCTCCTCACCAGGTGTCATAAAGAGTGAAACATGACCTACTCCTCAACAGGTGTCATAAAGGGGATGAAACATGACCCTCCTCCTCACCAGGTGTCATAAAAGGGGTGAAACATGACACTCCTCCTCACCAGGTGTCATAAAGGAGGTGAAACATGACACTCCTCCTCAACAGGTGTCATAAAGTTGGTGAAACATGACCTCCTCCTCACCAGGTGTCATAAAGGGGTAACACATGACCTCCACCTCACCAGGTGTCATAAAGTTGGTGACACAGCATCCTCCTCACCAGGTGTCATAAAGGGGTAACATGACACTCCTCCTCACCAGGTGTCATAAAGTTGGTGAAACATGACCTCCTCCTCACCAGGTGTCATAAAGGGGGTGAAATATGACCTCCTCCATACCAGGTGTCATAAAGGGGTGAAAAATAGACTCCCTCCTCACCAGGTGTCATAAAAGGGGTGAAACATGACCCTCCTCCTCACCAGGTGTCATAAAACGGGTGAAACATGACACTCCTCCTCAACAGGTGTCATAAAGGGGGTGAAACATGACACTCCTCCTCAACAGGTGTCAAAGGGGTTGAAACATGACACTCCTCTATACCAGGTGTCATAAAGGGGGTGAAACATGACACTCCTCATCTCTTACATTAATATTATATTCTCTTCTCTCTTATTTTCCTATGTATCAGCTATAATATTATCCATTCCTTTAATCATTATCACTTTATCTGTTATATTTTATGTTTATAACCGTTTGTTTTAATGTGGAAAACACGTATCAAACAAAACAGTCTTGTGATGCGTGCATGTTGTGAATGACGTCATCATAACAATGCTAATAATGACAACAGTCATTTTAAGTTTGTAACATGATGACACTAGTTAATGTAGGTCATTATACCCAGAGAAGAATGTTGATGTTATAATGTATTACTCAATGATGAAGGTGTTTTGAAGAGTATAATGTATGTATAATAAACATCAAAATATATGTTAAAAGGATATAAATGTCTGTCTTCACCGTGTCAAAACCATCAACACTGCCTCCAGATTTATCGCTCATAATGGCGAAACGTATCTCAAAAATAAAAGTGCAAATATTTGATATGTAACAAAAATATTTGAATCAGATGAAAATATTTGACAAAAGTGCAAACATTGAAATTTGACGTAAGTATCTGAAATAAGATGAAAATATTTGAAATAAGATGAAAATATTTTTAAAAAGATGGAAATATTTTATATAAGGCGGAAATATATAAAGATAGGCATAAATAATAGATGAAAGGCCTAAATAAAATAAATTTGTTAATATCATAAACAAATATTACAAAACTGATCAATAAAGAAAAAAATAATAACTGAATATTTAATAAAGTAATTTTATTTATTTAAGTTAGATATAAATCAATTTAAAACTCACTAAAAACGATTTACATGAACATTATTTAATCAAGATCTCATTAATAAATAAATTAAATCGACCAAACAAAGAAAATTATAATTATCTTAGTTATTTAATACAGGAATCAACAAAAAATATTAATAATTTACAAGTTAACGAACGAGTTATTTACTTATTTCACCACAAAGTAAAAAAACATAACCCGGAGTTAATATACCGAAAAGACTTGAAATAAAACAAATATTATTTACTTACATTAAAATCTCAACAAATATTTATACATAGACGAGAGAAGAAAACAAACAATGAAAACAACAACTTATATAAACAATTGATTATTAATGAAAAACAAATCCAAACACACAAATAAAGAATAATATAGCAAAAATAAATAAAGAATTGGAGGAAGTCTCAGAGTAACGACGCATAGAGAAAAAAAAACGTTTCGAATCGGAAGGAATGAAGTAAGGAAGGACTGAATGAATAAATGAATGAAGGAAGGAAGGAAACAAGAAGGAAAAAAAGGGGAAGGGAAGGGAAGGATCGATAATCTCACCGCAAGAAACTTTTTGATCTTGGCTTCTAGTAACTCCTGTCTCTTCCACCGCTCTGCCACCGCCTCACCCTCGCCTGTGGGAGAGACAAACACACCAGCTTAGTAAACAAACACACCAGCTTAGTAAACAAACACACCAGCTTAGTAAACAAACTCAAATTGACCTAAACAAACTGAAATTGACCTAAAATGCACAAATTGACCTAAAATACACAAATTGACCTAAAACATAGATATTGCCCTAAACAAACACAGAATCATATCAAAACAAAGACACAATATAAAAAGGTTAAGTATTAGTCAAACAAAAACATATATTTACGAAAACAAACACAGTATTTACGAGAAAAAAAATTATCAAAACAAACACAAAATGTATTATAACAAAGACAATAAAATATGTTAAGAATTAGTCAAACAATCACAAATTTACGAAACAAATACACTAGCTTAGTCAAACAAACACACAGGGTTAAAATATTGTTAAAACAGACATACAAGATTAGTTAAAACAAACACACTACGCCAGACATGAGTAAAACATACAAGGTCAGTCAAACAAACAAGATCAAAGCTCAACAAAAACAAACAAACAAACAAACACACAATAATAATAATAATAATAATAATAATAATAATAATAATAATAATAATAATAATAATAATAACAGAAATAACAAAAGTAACAAAAATAACAATAAAATAACAATAACAAAAGCTCAACAAAAGACTAATAACATATGTGTAATTATCTCTCCCTCTTCTGTTATGATTCTCTCACAAACAAAACAAATAAAAAACAAATAAAAAACAAGTAAAACAAAAGTAAAACAAATAAAACTAATTAAAAAAGTAAAAAGCAAGTAAAAACAATATATAAAAATAAATAAAAAAGTAAAAAACGTAAAAAAATAAACAAAAACAAGTAAAAACAAATAAAAAACAAAAACAAAAACACAAAAACAGTAAGAAACAAGTACAAATTAAAACTAAAAACCAAATAAAAACAATTAACAAACACAAATTAAAAAACAATTAAAAATAAACAAGTACAAACAAAGAAGGAGGTCAGGTAACTCAGGTGAGGGGTCATACAAGAGGTCAGAGTTCAGAGAAAATTAAGTTTATTCTAATATGATTTTATAAGATACCTGTATTTATTTAGTCCTATATGTACAGTGATATAAGGTGTGTTTACCAGGTTCTAAAGGCATATATATATAAGCCATATATAAGACTGGGGTCAGGAAGTGTCAACTGGTTAGGTATGAGTGGAGGAATGACTGGCATGAAGGAGAGAGAGAGAGAGAGAGAGAGAGAGAGAGAGAGAGAGAGAGAGAGAGAGAGAGAGAGAGAGAGAGAGAGAGAAACACAGACAGACAGACATACAATTATTTTAAAACATATTTGTACCATGACACACACACACACACACGCACACACACACACACACACACACACACACACACACACACCCCCTATAAAACAGTCATCACTTACACTTACACTTAATATCATATCCACTAAGCACCAACACAACACACCCAACACACTCCTCCCAACACACTCCACCCCAACACACTCCACCCCAACACACTCCCACCCCAACACAACACACCCCAACACAACACACCCCAACACAACACACTATCACCCCAACACACTCCACCCCAACACACTCCCCAACACACTCCACCCCAACACACTCCACCCCAACACTCCCACCCCACCTCACCCCACCACACCTCCACCCCAACACCCCTCCAGCACACCACACCCCCAGCCACACTCACCCACCACCACACCCACCACACCCCAACACCACATCCCAACACACTCCCACCCCAACACACCACACCCCAACACACCCCACCCTAACACTCCACCCCAACACACACCACACCTGGCCACCTCCCACCCCACCCCCACCCCAACACCACCCCAACACACTCCCACCCCAACACACTCCCACCCCAACACCTCCACCCAACACGCCACTGCCTCCACCCCAACACACTCCACCCCAACACCTCCCACCCCAACACACTCCACCCATGCTCACCCCAACACACTCCACCCCAACACACTCCACCCCAACACCTCCACCCAACACACTCCCACCCCAACACACTCCACCCCAACACACTCCACCCCAACACACTCCACCCCAACACACTCCACCCCAACACACCACACCCCAACACACCACACCCCAACACACTCCACTCCAACACACTCCACTCCAACACACTCCACTCCAACACACTCCACCTCGCTGTCTCTGTAAGAATCGAACCCTCATCATCGAATTTATTAGACGACTTTGTTAACCACAATTCCACGAATAAATAATTTCCTGTAATACGATTCGTCAAAATATTAAAAAAAGTATATATTTGTATTTATTTTAAGTATATTACAGAAGGTACAGTTGTGTATGTTTGTATGTTATGCTGTAATATCAGGTCAGGTGATGATTAGACATTATTAGTTTATTTTACCTGTTGATTAAATACCTTGAAGTTACCTGGAGATGGTGGTCTATGTAAGTCTGTCTGTTAGTCTGTCTGGTAAAGAGAGAGAGAGAGAGAGAGAGAGAGAGAGAGAGACTCAAACCAAATGTCAGACCATCTCCCCCAAAGGTCAAAGGTCACACACGGATACTCTGATGATCACCTGAGTTACAGTTACAGTGGTGTCATAATCTTTTGTATTATGGCCGTTTTTTTGTCTTCCCTCAAGTTACAGTCATCTTCTAAAACACTACAGGAGCCTCTAAGTTTATGTAGATGCTATTGTTAAGTTACAGTGGTATTTTATTAAGTTACAGAGGTCTTTGTTAAGTTGGAGAGGTCTTTGTTAAGTTACAGGGGTCATTGTTAAGTTACAGAAGTCTTTTGTTAAGTTACAGAGGTCTTTTGTTAAGTTATAGAGGTCTTTTGTTAAGTTACAGAGGTCTTTTGTTAAGTTACAGAGGTCTTTTGTTAAGTTACAAAGGTCTTTTGTTAAGTTACAGAGATCTTTGTTAAGTTACAGAGGTCTTTTGTTAAGCTATAAAGGTCTTTTGTTAAGTTACAGAGGTCTTTTGTTAAGTTACAGAGATCTTTGTTAAGTTACAGAGGTCTTTTGTTAAGTTACAGAGGTCTTTGTTAAGTTACAAAGGTCTTTTGTTAAGTTACAGAGGTCTTTTGTTAAGTTACAGAGGTCTTTGTTAAGTTACAGAGGTCTTTTGTTAAGCTACAAAGGTCTTTTGTTAATTTACAGAGGTCTTTTGTTAAGTTACAGAGGTCTTTCGTTAAGTTACAGGGGTCATTGTTAAGTTACAGCGGTCTTTTGTTAAGTTACAGAGGTCTTTTGTTAAGTTACAGAGGTCTTTTGTTAAGTTACAGAGGTCTTTTGTTAAGTTACAGAGGTCTTTTGTTAAGTTACAGAGGTCTTTTGTTAAGTTACAAGAGGTCTTTTTGTTGAGTACAGGGGGTCTTTGTTAATTTACAGAGGTCTTTTGTTAAGTTACAGAGGTCTTTTGTTATGTTACAGAAGGTCTTTAAGTTACAGAGGTCTTTTGTTAAGTTACAGCGGTCTTTGTTAAGTTACAGAGGTCTTTTGTAAGAGTTGCCACAAGGTCTTTTTGTTAAGTTACAGAGGTCTTTTGTTAAGTTACAGAGGTCTTTTGTTAAGTTTCAGAGGTCTTTTGTTAAGTTACAGAGGTCTTTTGTTAAGTTACAGAGGTCTTTGTTAAGTTACAGAGGTCTTTGTTAAGTTACAGATGTCTTTTGTTAAGTTACAGATGTCTTTTGTTAAGTTACAAAGGTCTTTTGTTAAGTTACAGAGGTCTTTTGTTAAGTTACAGAGGTCTTTGTTAAGTTACAGAGGTCTTTTATTAAGCTACAGAGGTTTTTTGTTAAGTTACAGAGGTCTTTTGTTAAGTTACAGAGGTCTTTTGTTAAGTTACATAATCTTGGTCCAAACTTAAAGCAATTTTTTGTTGAAGGTTACAAATAATTATTTTTACAGTGCAGGTTACAATTATCTTTATCTTACAGCCTCTGTCTGTCTGTCTGTCTGTCTGTCTGTCTGTGTCTCACTTCATAATCTACTCTCTCTCTCTCTCTCTCTCTCTCTCTCTCTCTCTCTTTCTCTCTACTACCAGCCATCATCACAGAAGTCAGAATTCACCCGAGAGCTTTATAAAACACCTCCATTTACCGATTCATATATTCATTACTGTGTCACAGGTGAGATGCTCAGGTGAGGATTACCGGACCACCCATTATATAGAACCAGCAGCCAGAAATGGAACTGGAATACGAGAAAGACAGAATTTCTCCCTTTTCTGAACGAGTTACTTGGGAAATGGAAATAGTTACTTGGGAAATAGAAATTAATTACTTGAATGTAGAGATGCGAGTTACTTGGGTGTAGAGGCGAGTTACTTGGGTGTAGATGCGAGTTACTTGGGTGTAGAGGCGAGTTACTTGGGAAATAGAAATTGTATCGCTGAGGGAAATAAAATCGAGAAATAGACCAGAATTTAGCGCTACTGTGAAGGACCTGTATGAAAATATATATAAACGTTAAATTTACTTGGAAATAAAGAAAATTAGTGACAATGTGCAGAACTTTATGTATTACTTTTAAATAGAAATAAATACTGGAAATCTCTCTCTCTCTCTCTCTCTCTCTCTCTCTCTCTCTCTCTGTGAACGCATTACTTGGAAAATCAAAACAAACCAAATTTTCTTAGTACTATGGACATCGGAGTGAATTTGTTCTCGTGTGAATGTGCTTCTCGGAATATTAGGACATCAAGTAAGTAAAAACTCAACATGAATGAGTGTCTCGAATATAAACATATCAAAATATTTAAAAAAAAGTGAATTATGAAGGCATTACCAGGAAAATCAATATGGCGGGAAAATTAGCAGAGGTAATTAGGCTGTAGAAGTGTAGATACAGTCCCAAAAATAAAAATAAAATTAAAATACTAAAGTAGATATTACGTCTGTTTCCTTTTTAAATAAAATATTGTAAAGTAAGTAAATTAACATCTTCACGTCACCAAGACTCGGCCACA